CCTTCTGCCATCCATCTGCAGTGCTTTCCTGAAAGGGCCATGGGTTCATATTCTCCCCTAGGTTTCCCAGTATGGGTCTAATGTCAGCCAGTTCAGATGTTCAGGAAGCGTAAAGGTGAACAAATACATTTCCTCCTCCTCGTATTTTGAAGGCCAGTCATTTCAATTAGAAAAGAAAGAAGGTTAGAGAAGTTACTTTGAAAAGGTTAATAGGCCTGGATTTTGAGTAGTAAGATATTTTTTATTTGACAATGTATGTTTGCTTATAAGTATAATTAGAACATTTGGCCTTAAAAACATTTTGAAGTATTCACCAAGACACATTCTTAATAATCAAAGGGATACTTCTCAAAAGGACCTGTATCCCTTGTTGAATGGTCTTGTGTTTGCTTATAGATATCAATAATTTCAACTTAGACGCAGACGTTTTATTCTGTGGAAGTGCTAGTGTAATTGTTTCCGAGCTTGTAGTGCCCGTAAGGTGCTACATTGGCTAACGAACATGCCAGAGTCCTCCCTACAGAGCAGGGAGGTGTTTGGACTCAAGCCTGTCACCTGGACAGTGTGTGTGTCTGTCTGTGACACACACAAAGAAAATTTTCTGGGTAGCTAACCCAGATAATCTGAAATAAAGTGCCTTAAAATATACAGAATTTTTTTTAATTTTGCTATTCTGTTGTTTGCTGATTTTCTTTGTTTTTTGAAGGGCTTTTATTTTTCATGTAAATTCTTATTCATTTATTTATTCAGAAAAACGTTTGAAAGCCTGCAAAGTGCTGTAGTTAGTGTGTATTAAAGAATCAATTCGTGGAAATAAAGTACAGAGGTCAAGAACTGCTTTGTAAATGACACCGAATTTTCTAATTTTAACTTCTTTTAAATTTTTTGTCTTCTAGTTATCTATTTGATGGGACTAGATAATGTAATTGCAAAGTTTAAGTTAAGGAAAAGAAAAGCATTGCTTATCTCTTCTAAATTGAGACATTTTGAGGGGTCAGTTTGTCTTCCTCCTGGAATTTGTCTTGCTCCTTCTTAAAAGCATATTTTAATACTTAGCATGTTTAATGGTCTCATAGTGCTGAACTCCTACTGGAACTGATTGGTACCAGTACTTTCAAGTTTGAGCAATGAAGGCCCTTTTCTTGGTTATGCCCTATACCCTAGAGATAGGAACTGGTCCTTCTTACCTGCTTCAAGCCCTTCCCTGCATGCTAATGGTGCTTTGGACCCCTGTCCTTTCTGGCCTGAAGATTTTGCTTCCTATTGCTTTTTCTAGAGAGCTTTTTGGTAAGTTCTGTTTCTGGAAATAACAATTGGCGCTTTCTTGCTAATACGATGACATGAGCCACCAGGTCATTGTGTTTTAAATGAAATATTAGTAGATTGTTGTAGCAAGCGAGTTTTGGGCTTGCTTTTGTCTTTCAAAAGACCTCATTAAAGGTTGGGATCCATTGCTACAGATCAGTAGCGAAAGTTTGTGTTTTATCGAATGAAAGGCTAGATGACCTAATGCTCTTGCTTTTTCCCACAGGCTCCTACCCAGAGATTCTACCCAGTGAAACTCCCACAGCAACGCAGGTAGACGGGGCTGACCTGGCCTCTCCAATGTCTCCTCGAACTAGCAAAAGCCGTATGTCCATGAAGCTGCGTCGTTCCTCTGGCTCGGCCAATAAATCCTAAGGAGACAAGCAGCCCAGCAGTGATCAGCAGTAGCCGCCTTAGCATGCCTGTAGTGTTAACCCTTCCAGGCCCTCCTGTTTGCCATAACACGCATGTTCCTTCCTGAACACTTACTGTTAAAAAAAAACAAAACACTGGATTGAAATAATTTGTAACTTAATATTTTAGATTCGTTTATTCAGTTAGGTTCCCCCACACACACTCCAACTGCCATATTTGGGGGAGTTTTATTCAACAGCCCTTTACCTTTCTAGATAATTATGTTTAAGTAGTCTTACTTTTAATTTCATGATTAACTTTGAACCAAAATATAATTGAACAGATAGTCTCATTATTTTATCATGCTTCACTGCAACTTTATGGACTTAGTAAATATATAATTTTTTACAAATGTAAATTTTTACATTCAAACATTTGTGCAGTTACACCAAAAGTTGCAGATCTGTTAATACGCAGGAGTTGTATGGATTATTTATGTTATGAAAACAAAACATTTAAAATAAAAGGTCTTTTGGCTTCTCAAATTCTAACTGAAATAATTTTAGCATTAACTTCTTCCCAAAGCAATGCCTTGTTTCTTAGCTGGGCAGGTGATTCCAAATCTAATAACCAGAAAAATCACTGCTGAACTATGATTTATGTTTTGCTTTTTAAATGGTATCACTGTTAAATGCCATTTGTTTTGAGATCGTGCCCCTTCATTATTGGCTGGTAGATCCTGGTGTGTCTCTGTTCTTCAGAAGCACCAAAAAGGGAGACATGGGAAGAAGAAAGAAAAGAAGGAAAAAACTTTTCTAAATATAAATGTGTTAATTAAATTTCGTGTATTTTTTTTAAAAAGGAACATGGCCCAGGAGTCTAAATTAAATCTAATATATTTAATACTGGATTTGCAGGTGCAGGTCAGTGTGCATCCCACCCTTCAGAGGTATTTCCTCCAGTAGATGAGCCACTCACATTTTGCTCATATTTTGTTTTCAACAGGCATCTCCTAAGGAAATGTAGCATGACATCGGTACTAACTGCATGTGTCAATACATCACACACTAGCAAACTCTAAAATATAAATTATATATCACCATTCATGTAGTATCTACAGATTTGTAACAGTGAAAAAGTATATATGGTATAATATTTAGTAATACAATAAAATTATTATCACCTATGTCCATGAGCATTCTGTCTTTTTATGTTTGTTATCATTTTCAGATTTAATAATCAGGGTTATATGATTAATGGAGAGATGTAAAGCATAAATCAAGGTTATCTTATGAAAAATGGATCTGAATTCTCAGGAATCCTACCACAATATTAAAAATGCAGGAAATCTTACACCTTCGTAAGGGCTGGCCAGAAGCTCCATCCAGTGCACTTGGTTAAAGCATTAATTTATCTCAGCCTCACCTTGTGCTGCTTTGATTTCTTAAATTTACTTTATACTATACATTCAGGAACAAAATTTTTAACAGTTTCTAAAACCTGTGCACTTAAGTTTTTTTCTTATAAATAAAAACAAATTCCTATGAAATGATATAGAAAAGAAACAAATTCCTAAGAAAGAAGATAAACAAATGGCCCTGGGAACAAGATAAAACAATGCAGAGTTTCCCACAACCGAGGTGAGGGTTGCAAAGAGAAAAATCAAAGTAGCTGATTACATGTTCTGTAGTGGTTTGGTTTGGTTTTTTAGTGAACAGCTAATAGATTGATGATAAGTAACAACGGAGTGAAAATACCAACTTGAAATAGTGACGTTAATTAGCAAGTGAACATGATTTTTTTTCATCTTTAGTTTGCACTATTCATTAACTCTCAAAAAAGTATTTTTAATATATTTTTCTTTAAAATATCTTATTGTTTATGCTATTACAGTTGTCCTACTTTTTCCCACACTCCACTCTCACGGCCAGTCCCCATACTTTTCTGTTGACATTTTGAGGTGGTAAAGTATCTTTAGGTTTAAAGCATAGTGTGTATTCTGTGCCTTTTGAAGTTCTATTTGTGCAACCATACTTAAAGGAAATTTTTCCATTGCATTTCCTCACCAATACATTCACTTACAAAATAAAATTTCTCCTGTCTGTATTCTGTCTAAGTGGGTCACTAAGATCCCAAAGTGGATACTGGCTTTGGGAAGATAAGATGTGGCTTTGAGAAACAGACTGTGTTTAATGGGGTTCTTAAGACAAACAGAACACAACAAAGCACCAGCTATGTACATTTATTTGGTGGTAAGCATCTTACAAATACGAGCTGTCAAGCAGTACTCAGCCAGTGTCCCAACTCTGGCTGTAAGGGCATGGGTTCAGAATGTACGCCAAATATGGTTTACAAAAAAATCTAAAACAGGCTACTGAAAAGAAAATACTGGACATTGAATCAATTGCCATTCTGTTTCATAGTGGAATATAGGTATTAACATCTTCCTTAAGCTGAATGTAGTTTAATACATAATATGCTGTATGAGATTTACAATGGGAGCATTCAACGATTTGGATGAAACCCTACTAAAACAGTTAAACTTAAGAAAATGAGTTCTGTATTTCCAAAAAGTGTTTTAAGGTTTAAAGTAACTCTCTCTTGCTGAATACTACACATAAAAGAGCTAAAGGTGAGGATCTTGGGGGTATCTCAGCTCCTTCCTGTAAAATAATACCCTCCCCACCTCCAAACACTAACTTAAAAATGGACTACCACTACGAAAAAGAAAGCTTACAGGGAAATCCTCACAACTCCGAAATGCGCAAACATCCTATATTTGCTGCTTGCAGACACAGGCCTTGAATCTACACCTCCCCTCCCACCAGAGCCTCTAAGTTTGGCACCAGTCACAACTTTTAATTCACAGAAAATACAATGCAAGATATCTGACCCTATTGAGACAGAAACTACATAGGTGTCTGCGATAACAACAGGAGAAAAAAAAAGACTACCATTGTTGGTAGCTAGAATCCTTTGTAGACATTGAGACATGCACACATTCACTGCGACTTTCCATAGGAATTACAAGTCATAGGATTCATTAGGATCTTCAGAGTTTGGAGAGGAAGGAAGGAATCCTATTTTCGTGGGGAAAGTAAGGATTTAAAGCTGACAGTTCTTGACCGGGAATGTTAATACTATCCATATACGTACCTGCTCTAGAAAGGGATTTTACATTTTGCTGTCCGCTCCTGTGTCGGAACATTGACTACTGGGGCTTTTTAGGAGGGAAAATCTGGGAAAGGGAGTAAACTTGCAAGGTGAACAAAGCCCCACAGAAATCCCCGTGATCTGTTTCCTCCAGGGCCAACCTTGCAGTCTAGCGTGTCTCTCGGCCCTCAACAGCCTGGCCGCAGTGGCATCTGCAGCAGCAGTACCTGCCGGCTTTCTGAGGGGTGGCACTTGTTAATGTGTCGGGTCAGCCCCGGGGAGCTAAAAAAAGTGGACGGACAGTGCTTGCACGAGAAAATTTGCTGAGCACTCCCGTCGGGTGCCCCTCCCGGGCTCGGAGCTTCTGGGGGTGCCCCGGCCAAAGCCGGCAGGAGCAGCTCGTCCCGGACAGCATGCCACAGCCTGTGTTTGTCCCTGATGTCTGCAGAAGGGAAGTGCGCCCCGCATAGTGGGCAAGCGAAGGCCAGTGGGGCGCCGCGTTCGGAGCCAAAGCCTGGGGCAAGCGCACGGGCCGAGGCCGCGTCGTGAGTGCCCAGATGCTTGCGCAGATAGGCTTGGCGACGGAACTTTTTGTGGCAATAGGGGCACAAGAAGATCTCAGGTTCCCCGACACTGCTGGCAGTGCTCGGCCCAGGCACCCGGCTTCCTAACACCCCCTCCGAGTAGGGAACCCGAGGGAGCGGTGCCTCGAGGTGAGACAGCATCTGGAGGCTCGGGGCCTGGACGCTGTCTGGGCGCTGCTCTGCCCCGGAGCTGTCCCTGGGCTGCAGGTGCTGATTTTCTGTCTGTTCTGCCCGGCTATTCTCCTTCCCCTTTGCCAGAAAAGCAACAGGCCCAGGATCCGGGGAGGACGAAGGAGGAAGCTTCCCGTCAATCGAGGAGACCGTGGCCGCGTTTGCCACTGTAGGACGGGGCTTGTGCCAGCGGCGGTGCGAGGCGAGGTTCGCTGGGCAGCTGAAGACCTTGTCGCACTCCGGGCAGCGGTACTCAACGCGGACGATGCGGGAGCAGCGATGCTGAGCCAGCGCGAAGGGGTCCGCGTACTGCTCCTTGCACAGCTGGCAGATGAACTCCCCCAGTGGCGTGCGGCCGCTCGCTGGGCCCCGGGACGGGGCTCTGGGCTCCTCCTCCTTGATCTTCAAGCCCAGGACGGGAGATGTGGTCACTTCATCCGCGAAGCTCAACTTCCTCACAGCCTTTGGCTTCTTGACTCCCGTAGCCGCAGGTCCAGACACGCAGCCCGGAGGCGCCTTAGCGCGGCGTTCGCCAGCCGCCGGCCGCTTCAGGCTGTGCAGGGTGGCGGAGAGGGGCGCCGGGTCCGGATGAAGCGCGGGCTCTGGGAATGGTGCCCGGAGAGGCAGCTGGAACTGCTCCCCTGGGGTTGGTACGGCTGATGGTGCCACTGAACAAGAAAAAGCAGCCACGGCGGCGCCCCCGGGGAAGGACTCTGCGGAGACCGGCGAGCTGAGGCAGCGCTCCAGAAACGCCCGGCGCAGCTCCGTGCCCACCGGCTTCGCAGGGCTGGAGCTGGGCCTGGGACCAGGGAGGGAGGGTCCCTCCCTGCCATCCACCCTCCACTCTGCACCTTCCCGCCCGCGCAGCCCCGGGCTCACCCCCGCTGCCCGACACGGTGACCCCGACAGTTCCCGGGCCGCCACTTCCTCCTGCCCCTTTCCGGGCTCCTCCGGGCTAGGGGGCGCCGGCCGCTCTGTATCCGGCTGCGGGGCACGGGAAGCCTCCTTGGGGAAGGGCGGCGCCCCCTGAGGCTCCGGCTTGGGGAAGACCCGCTGCGCGAGGCGCACTCGGTAAGCGCCGCCTGTCCGTTTAGTTCGCTTCACCAGGAAGCCCCTTGGCATGGCGGAGTCGAGAGCGCTCGGGGGGCACGGAGTAACGGGGGTGCCACAGGGGCTGAAAAAGGGCGAGCACCGCAGCCACCCGAGCTTCGTGGCGGTCATGCATCCGCAGCCTTTATAGCTGAGACGCAGGCCGGGCGTCCGGGGGGCCGTCTGGGGGCCGGGCCGCCCAATCAGGAGTGGGAGCGGGCGCCTGGGCGGGGCTTTCGCCCCGCGGGCTCACGCGGGTCCGCCAGGCGGGCAGCGAGCACGGCTCTGCCCGCCTCCGGGCCTCCGCACTGCCCAGCCCCAGCAGGTGGCTCGGGGGCCGCCGGCGGCACCTCCCCCTGCCACCCAACCGGTAACGACGCAAGAAGGTAAGGTCCGAAGTGTGCAGAAGCTCAGCACCCCACACCTCAGCCTCCGCCCGGGACCTGCAAGGAACCCTGCTAGGGGGCCACCCACCAGCGCCCTCCTTGCGGCCGCGGTGCTGCTGCCCGGGTGTGTAGGCTCCGGATGGAAGAGCGCCCCCACCCCCGAGAGCAGAGCTGAGAGGTACCGGCGGCGGCTTCCGGGAGGCGACCTGGTGGGTTTCAGCCAGGGAATGGGTGTACGTCCTCTGCCGGAATTGAGCTGCTGAGAAGCTGCGACCCAGCGGCAGGGCTGCTAAATCCACCACCCCATCCCCACACTTGACTCCACCATCCCATCCCCACACTTGACGGTAGCAGCACGTCTGCCATCCAGTATCGATCGAGGCTGCGCGCGTCTGTGATACTATGAGAATTCATCTGGGAAGAAGGGCTCTCAGTGCAGGAGAGCGTGCGTGCTGGCGAGCCGCTGGAGCTCAGGACGCCAGCAGGTTGCCGGGCCCCAGCCCTCAGGGCTTATAAACGCCCCTCCCAGATGGGAGCAGGAGTGGGGAGAGGAAAGTAGAATCTAATTTTCCACCGTCCGCAGATAAAGTGGTTTATCCGCTCACGCCTTCCACTTGTAATACCCAGAGACATGACTTAGTGCCTAACTGGCCTGTTTAGAGCATGGAGTAGATCTGAGTGAGAAATACGGTGGAATCAGGATTATGTCTGCTTTCCCCTTATAGAAGGTGATACTTTGCGAAATGTGTGCTGTAGACCAGACGCCGAAAATTCTCATCCAGCACTCCTTAACGTGCCCCACATTGTTTTAAGCACTAGAAGATACTTGACAGTTTGTAATACTAGCCGACAATGAAATAACTAGAAAATATATGACACATGTATAATAAAGTTCCCAAATCCATGATATACATAATACACATATAAATACAAGTGGGGATAAGAAGGGGAAAGAACTGTGTGTTCAAGTCTCCTGACAAAATCAAATCGGAGAAACAGACCGAGCCACGAGTTTTCAAAGGTGACTATAGCCAAACAAATCTAGTCCTCAATAATACACACCATCTTCCTTCTAGTGAACAACGTGTTTTTACAGGGAGACCATTATTTTTAAGCACATTTGGAAGTAATTATGTATTTTGTTCATCACTGACTATACTTTAGGCACTCTACTTAATCCCTAATCTTTTCACATATGAGCTCAAAAAACAAGGATGTATTATTACTCTCCCTTTTTTGATGAAGGGATGGAGCTATAGAGAAGTTCAATAACTGCTAAAAAGTCACCAAGAGCCCAGATTCAAACCGAGTTCTGGCTAATTCCAAATCTCACTTTTCCACTACACCAGGGAGCTTCGAACTATGTTTTTCTAATCAGATCCCACAATTAGAAATACATTTTACAGTACACATATAACTGAAACCAAAAAAATTTCACAAAATAATACACTTAACAGTACACTGCATTCTTGTTTTTCTATTCAGTTCTGTTTTCTTTTTTTAAAATGCTGATCATATCAAACAAATTGCTTTCATACTTACTAATAGATTTAGGACCCACAGTTTGAAAAATACCATCATTAGGGTATTTTCTATTAAGTAGCATGAGCTCATATAAAATTAACTAACCAACCTGACACTTTGTAATCAAAATTAATATTCTGAATCTCTAAAACCAGTATTTGCACTTCTAGGTCAATACACAAAAGGACTGAAGACAGGGACCGAAACATACTTACACACTAATGTCCATTGTAGCCTTATTCACAATGGCCCAAAGACTGGGGGGGGGGGGGGGGGAACCCACTGTCCAACACAGAGAAATATATAAACAAAATGTGGTACATGCAAATGACAGAATATTGCTCAGCCCTAAGAAGAGAATGAAATACTGATACTTAGAACATGGATGGATCTGAAAAAATTACACTAAGCAAAATGAGTCAGATACAGAAGGACAAGTATTATAAGGTTTCACTTACATGAAATATCTAGAATAGGCAAATTCATTGAGATAGAAAGTAAATTACTTATTGGCTATCAGGGGCTGTGGGAATAGGAACTCAGATTAATGGTTATAGAATTTCTTTTGGGGTGATCAAGTTTTGTTAATCAATAGTAGTGACTGATGGACAACACTGTGAACACAATTAATGCCCCTGAATTATACACTTAAAAATGTTAAAGTGAAAAAGAACAAAGAAAAAAAGGAAAAAAAGTTAAAATGTAACATTTTATTATATTTATTATATTATTATAAAATATAATGGTTTTGTTATAGTTTTTAGCACAATAAAAAGTTTCACACACACACAAGAGTAGAAGGGAAAAATCACGGCATGTGAGACTATAAAAAGAATCTAAAGGATCAGGTCATGTACTTTGGACTTTATTACATAGAACAGGCCAGGAGAGCCATTTAAGGTTTTAAAGTGAGGAAGTGACATTTGGTTTTAAAATCACGTGAAGGAAACTTATCTTTAGCTGTGCTTTCTGCCAGAGCGAAAAAGAGAAATGTGGATATATGAGTCTCTTCTCAGTCCTTCCCCTTTTAAACAACTGAGAATGCATGTCTGTTTCTGGGGGCGGGGGGGGGAGGGAGTGATGAAAACTTTAAAAGTCAAAAGAGCATTTATGATGTGGAGTATTTAATGAAGTGATTGGCATAGAACTGATATGCAATATTTTTTAATGGCTGGTGCCAGTGTGTCCAGCCATCTATCCAGCCATCCTGTCTTTCATCTGTACGTCTGTCCAATCATTCATCAAATAATTGCTCTGTATTCTTTCTGTGATAGTTCAGAAACACAGTTTTTGAACTATCCTCTGTCATTTTCAGGAAAACGAATTTGGGTAGGAGAGGGCCTGGCCCGCCTGCAGCCAGTTCTATTCCCAACCACCTTAAATAGAAATCCTGCCCCCCCCCCCCCCCCCAGCAAATCTCTGGTTGATCCAAAGGACTTCGACATCACTTAGGTTGCCAAAGGGTTTGCTTTGGCACCACCCTTCCACCAGCTCTGCACCAATCCTGTGTGAAGAGCCAACGGCAACTCCCCCTCCTCTAAAGGCACCTCTCACCTCATTCCCACTGCGTTCCCTTTTGCCTCTCTTCTCATCACGCCAACCCCCCAATATCCAGGAAACATCCAACCTCCATTAAAGAAGACTTTCCTGAGTTTCCCTGCACAGGTGTGTCTGCTGTTCTCCATGCTCTGGAGCACTGGTACTGGCCACCACACAGGCTAATCCTTATGTGCCATTGAGTGAGGCCCATGGAACAGGGCAAACAGTGATTACTATGACAATACACAGCTGTTTCATTATTTAAAGGGGGGAAAAAAGAATTGTTGACAAATATTTTCTAACAAACCCAGCAGTAGTTCCAATGGCTGTTTCTCTACCTTCCCCCCACATGTAATTTGATAATCTTTCTGGAAATCAGTGGAACAATGTATATCAGGAGCTTTTAAAAACAAGTTATTAATTCACCAAATCCTTTTGGTAAATTACCCAAGAGAAGGAAAAAGCATAAGGCTGTTTATCACAGTGTTATATGTGATTGTAAAAAATCAGAAATTACCTTGGGTGAATTATGGCACAGCTGTGCTATAGATGCTTACGTGCATTAAAGGCGCAATGACATGGACAAACATGCACACCACAATGTTAAGGAAAACAGCAGAATGGAAAGTTGCATGCACAACAAAGAGCTTGATGATGAAAAACAAAATGAGTAAAACACTGCAAGGAAATATACCAAAATGTTGGAGTTACCTCTAGTTAGGTAGAATTTTAGGTTTTTTGTTGCAATAAGCATACATCACTCAAATCATCAGAAAAAAATAATGTAAAAGCCCCTTTTAACGCCTTTCTGGTGTCAGATGTGCAGCCCCCTTCCCTAGGATACCTCGGAGAACCGACAGGGCCACATTGAATGGGAACTGCACAGGTAAGCATCATTCTCCAGAGCCACCTTTTTGAGCTCTGGCCCTAGAAAAGAGGTGACAAGCTTCTATCATGCCACAGGCCTTTAGGTTGAAGAAACTTTTGGGGAAGAGACTAAGGGTTAAAAGGTAGAAAAGGGGCTAAAAAGTAGGGGCAAGAAAGCATTTAGATGAATGCCCTCCACTTGAATATAAACCTAGAAGATCCTTAAGATATGATCTCTTCTTCCTCTTTCACACTCAGAAATCACCACCGACAGGACAATCCCTGGCAGGATCGTGAAATCCTTGCTTCCTTTATCTGTATCCTTTATCTTGCCAATGACAACCTTTTCCCCCTTTTAAACACTCATGACCTTCCTCCACTTGGTTATATTCTGATAAAAATTCATTAACAGTGAACTACCTGTCGAGCTATTTGCATTGTAAGCTTCCTGTCTCCAACAGTGGAATAAATTACTTGGATCAAAATTCAGAAATTTTGAGACACTAGCAATCAGGAAATCTTTTGAAGAAAGACTTCTTGCCGCGCCATCATCCTGAGCACAGGAGAAGCGCAGATTACTGCCGTACATTTGGTCACTCGGACACTGAAGCATTGCTCAGAAGAACGTTCATTTTCCCTGTCTCTCTGCTCCCTCCCCTCCACATGCCCCTGTGAAATATTAACCCCAGTGGCAGCTACCAGAGGCCTGTTCTCCCA